CCCCAGCCCCATTCCGGTGATGTAGTATCCAGTTCATTGTTTTTTGGGGGTAATCTGTTGTCATTCATACGTTGTACATGGCCGTACCAGACAAGTTGCCTTCTTTCGATGTCAGTCATTAATCGTGTCCCGAATTCCCATTTGTTCCTGGATATTTTCATTTCTCACTCGCTCGGTTCTGAATACTCTGACCGATCTTTTAAGTGCATCCATTTCGGTTGCTTCTATTCGTTTATGTTTTCTGTCATTCTTTAAGTTTCTAAACCGTATATACGGTTCAGAAACGGTCTAAGTTACTCGAAGAAATTTCTCCGAACTTACGACCGAGAAAAAACAAAGATTTTACTTGATTTAAAAACAATCTTCGGATTGTCACGGGGTTTTTAACAGGGCACTGTCTCCTCAACAAACATCTGTGGGGAAATTGGGAAACACCAGAAGACCCCATCACTGGGTGCACCGAGACGACAACCATTCGTGAACTCAAGAAAGGGGGACACAATAGATCTGTGGTGTGGTACTAGCTCAAGCTATTTATGTAAAATACCCTTCAGTATATTAAAAAAACTGCCCTACTTCGCCGATGTCAGTTATTAAAAGTGTCGAGTAAGCTAAACGCCGCTCGTCATTAGAAAAGGCTAACTTCAGTACACAAAAGACAATAGCCATTAAGCACCCTACAGTTAATAAATCGATAGTGCAACTCACTTTGTGGCTAGAAAAATTCTGAATCTCGCTTCTCATTTTCGCTAATTAGTCTCGCCGCGCTTGTCAAACAGGTAACAACAATAGCACAAAACGGCACCAAAACAAAAGGGGTGAAGATTAAAGTGCAATACGGGCAAATATTTAAGATGAATCATCGCGTAGCGTCGTTCCAAAATCAGGATATTTGAAAGGCGTTTTAGAAACAATTATTTTTGCTACTGTCTCTTCAGCGATCTTTCAACTTTACGTCATCATTACTTGTCTAATATGCGTTTTAGGATGTGTCTGAGATCAGTTCATATTGTTGAGAAAATTTTAAGTTCTGAAATTATTAATTGAGTGAATTCCATTTTTATTAAATTCATGTAGATATGTTTGGCCTTTATTCAATTTGATTGTTTTTCAATCTATAATTTTAGGCGAATATACCAGTTTTTTCCAGGTAAGTCGTACCTGTTTTATAAATAAATCAATGAAAAAACTTGAGATTCTGTTCACTTTGATACTCTAGAAATTCACGATGACTAAAATAAATAAATATACTGATATAAATATGCTGTATACATAAGACTAAATTACACACGTTTGTATTCTAATTACTTCATATAGTGTCTTTTTTTCTCGCGTAAAAATTGTAACAAACTTTACGATGAGAACTTGTTCATTCTCGCTAAATCGTTAACGCATTTTAGTAATAAAAATTGAATTTCAAATTATAGATCAAAATGTCAAAATTAAAAATTAAAAATTGTTCGACAGCCCATCAAATTTTAAATTTGACATTGATCGATAAAATCATAACCACAAATCAAATGACATTGACAATTACTAAAAACAATGTGCAGTAATTGCCGCAATGACGTCACCAATCTATTTCATATGGTTGTCAAGTGAAAGAGAGAGTTCGACAATATATGACGTGACGTTGAACGATTGCTGAACAAACCTTGGCTCTAAAATAATTACGCACATTTTTATTTATCTGAATGGTGCGTTGCAGCAGTCGACTTAGATATTTAAAGAGGCGGAAGAATCAACGTGCAAGGAAAGCATGGTATGACATATGTATAGATGTAGATGTAGAATGTCTAGGAGGGGGGAAGTTATCTATATCACCGCGACCTTTTAGGTCTATTGTGTTTCCCTTTCTTCAGTTATAATTCATCATACAGTCTCAGGGCTCTGACAAATCAGTAACCATCAATTAGAAGTTGGTCAAAGAATGCCTAGAGAAACTGAACAAATCAGGCAAAGAAAATAAAGTCTTCCTACATTGCGTGCCAGCCCACCGAAAGATAGAAGCCAATGAAAAAGCCGAGGACCGTTCTGTTTCCCAAGTGGAAACCAACTTAAAGCGGAACTCAAGAACCCGGAAGACTTCATCCATAACCTGAAATGGGAATCATCCGGCCTCTCCCCGGTTTAAGACACTCGAAGTTATTTCTCAGGACTTACGACCGAGAAAAATGAACGATTTTCCTTGATTTTAGTAAGAACAATCTTCGGATTGTCACGAGGTTTTTAACAGGACACGGTCTCCTCTATGAACAACTCAGTAGATTGAAGCTGAGAGACAATGGCGAATGCCGATTCTTTGGCGAAGTAATAGAACAACACTGAGTGCGCCGAGACGATAACTATTCGTGTCATAAACTTTGATACGACTGATATCGGAGATGGAGAACTCATCATCATGATCATCACGCAGCCCCCTTTCACGTCCATAGTTGAACATAGGCCTCCTCCAAACGTCTCCAGTTCTCGCGGTTTTTAGCTGTTGCTGTTACTAAGTCCTGAGACTGTAATAGCTCAAGAAAAAGCGACCCAATAGATCTGTAAAGCCGGGTCTCTACCAAAGCAACATTGTGTCGCCGACTAGTGTTGTCGACAATGTTGCTGAAAATTCAGTAAGGTCGTCGATATTTTATGTCGCAGATTTAAGTCGCCGACTTTGTTTCATGTTTCGCTTGAGGAGCGGTACATCAAAGAAAAATCGTGTCGTCGACAATGTTAACAAACATGTCGAAAGACGTCTCCACCGAATCAACTCCTATCAGTAACTTTATCGGGTATATTTTTTTATTTTTTTACTTGGGTCTTATTTTTGTGTTATGAATACTTACCTTTACATTTTCTTTAAGCCGCGTCTCCACCAAAGCAACATATGTCGACGACATTGTCATCAACTTTTGTTACTAATTTCATAAATATTGTCGAGAAATGTAGATCGTACCTACCAAAGAAACATTATTGCTCGACTTCATTTTTCGACTAAAGAGCGAAAGTTTATTTAGTGTTTATCAACATGTGGAACAACGAGGATGTAATTATAATCTCAGCCGCTGACTTGCTCACTGATCTTTATACAGGTGACTTAAATCCGCTCCACAATGAAATAAGAAGTAGTTTCAAGAATTTTCTAAGAATGAGTTCAGCTGACTTTGAATCATTGCTCCAAATGAATGGTCCCAGGATTTGTCAATCAGATTTCTTGTTTTATCATTGCTCTACTCCATACCAAATTTATTTTTAGCTTTAAAATTAAAAACAAACTTCTGGCCTTTTGAACTACACGAGTACAAATGGCAAAATATACCCAATAAAGTTACTGATTGGAGTTGATTCGGTGGAGACGTCTTTCGACATATTTGTAAACATTATCGTCGACACGATTTTTCTTTGATGTACCGCTCCTCAAGCGATACATGAAACAAAGTCGGCGACTTAAATCTGCGACATAAAATGACGACGACTTTAAGCCGGGTCTCCACCAAAGCAACATATGTCGACGACATTGTCATCAACTTTTGTTACTATTTTCATAAATATTGTCGAGAAATGTAGAACGTACCTACTAAAGAAATATTGTTGATCGACTTCCTTTTTCGACTAAAGAGCGAAAGTTTATTTAGTGTTTATCTACAAGAACGACGATATTTTTATTTTTCTCTCATCTTCCACCTTCTCCACTTCTAAACTTGTTGCAATATCATTCCAGGCATCATACTTTCTATTTCTGTTCTTATACCAAGTATGCTTAGTGTCCCAAAGTTCGGGGTGGGCTTGATATTTTTCATTCAGATTTCTTGTCTTATCATTGCTTCACTCCATGTCAAATTTATTTTTAGCAACAGAATCAAAAACAAACTTCTGGTCTTGTGAACTACAGGAGTACAAATGGCAAAATATACCCGATAAAGTTACTGATAGCAGTTGATTCGGTGGAGACGTCTTTCGACATGTTTGTAAACATTGTCGTCGACACGATTTTTCTTTGATGTACCGCTCCTCAAGCAAAACATGAAACAAAGTCGGCTACTTAAATCTGCGACATAAAATGTCTACGACCTTACTGAATTTTCAGCAACATTGTCGATAAAACTAGTCGGCGTCACAGTCGCCGACAAATGTTGCTTTGGTGGAGACCCGGCTTTAAGTTCAGCTATTAGTGCATCACATACTTCTGGTATTATATTTAAAATCATCTGCTTTCCACATTTGAAAAGATAACCAAGGCTAATACCTATATGAATCCCCAGAAGCCAAAAATCTAAGCGTAATAGCAAGACGCTCCTGAACAGGAATTGCATCTCGATAATTTGTGTCCATTTTACAATTCCTGGGACTAATCATTTGGAGCTATGATTCAAAGTCAGCTGAACTCATTCTTAGAAAATTCTTAAAACTACTTCTTATTTTATTTTGGAGCGGATTTAAGTCATCTGTACAAAGATCAGTGGGCAAGTGATTACCACTATATAAATTTCTCTTCCGGAGGCTAGGACGTATCCAAAAACGACGTTGCCGTCTGGCTTGACGATGCTCATTTCGCGAAATAAAACGAAATGCGGCTGAGATTATAATTACATCCTCGTCGTTCCACATGTGGATAAACGCTAAATAAACTTTCGCTCTTTAGTCGAAAAATGAAGTCGAGCAACAATATTTCTTTGATAGGTACGATCTACATTTCTCGACAATATTTATGAAAATGTAACAAAAGCTTCGTCCAAATCGACGTCAGTTCAAAAATTATTTGAAACAAATTGAAGCATTTTAGGACATAAATTTACACGAACTTTTTTATTTATTTTTATCAGTAGAATATGCTGCCGAAGTTTCCCGAATGCAATTCGGACCACCCTGTATATTAATATAAACATAAAAATTGAGATGTCCAATCTATATTTTTTGCGATAATAAACATACCTGTCATCTGAACAAAAAATACCTTACAGTAGAACGGTACGCTATCAATATTGTATCGGCTACGAATTTGTCGACAAAGATGTATGCAATTTCAGTGTTTAGCTTAGTAAGAAATTAAATAAACTTTAAATACTTGATATTTGCTATACAAAATAAATGTAATGAGGAAATAGTGATCGGAGCCAAGGGAGAATGTCGGGTTGCTGTGAATTTGTTCTAAGTACTAAAACATCTCGTAACAGCCTTAAATGGTAAATATTATCATAGAAATATATTTATTTAACATAGTAGTTGATTTATATAAATATATAGTTTTTTTTCTAGATTTAAATACGATATAAAAATATATAATACGATATGTAAAGAGAGACAGAGTAGTTACTTATAAAATAATTACGTATAGGCAAACTTACACCAAATAGTTTCCTTTGGGATGGTATAATGATTTTCCGGGATCCAGGACAACTTACCTAAATCCGGGATTTTTCCGAAAATCTCGGACGTCTGGCAACCCTATCTCTGGATCACACTGTATCTTTTTTCTTAAAATTTTATTTTTATAACATTATTCTGAATAGAATGAACAAAAAGTTGATTAATTCATATTCTTCTCTATTTCTTAGAATTGATAAAACTGCCAAGATGTTATTGCCAAAAGATGCTTACTTTTATCGACAACACGAAGGAATAATTTCCCTACTTTAGCTGCAATTGGTAAATGTTTATTTACTTTTAAAGCTTCCATTAAAACGAAGTAATTTACATATTATAAACTGACGCCTTTCAAAGACTACGTATACTACCATCTATTAATATACTTATAGTTAACTAAAATTAAATGAATTAACAAATACTCTAATTTAGTATCGTCTAAATTATTATGCCAGCTCATTATTATTTATTACATACATTAACTCATTGTCTCATGCATAACAACAATTGCAGAAAATAAAAATATTTAAAATTTTATCACTGGAATGAATTGAAAAATCAAAATATCTTCTGTAGCGCAAAACGAATAATAAATAATGTTTGATAAAGAATAAATTATTTCAGTTCAAATATAAACAAATAATTATCAGAATTTTTGTGTCTTACGAGGGTGTATTGATAAATAAAGATGTTATTAACAATTTTTTTAGATAACTAAACACACTGCTCCGAAAGAAAATTTATTTATTAAACACTAAACAATTTACTTGCTTACTAATAAATACTAATATACACTTGGTTACTAATAATTACTTGTTAATTATAAAATGGAGAAACTTTGCCATACGTTCTTCGCCCCCTGGAACACATGGAACACCCTGTATATTATTCTATTTTTAGATTCTACGATTGAAATAAAGATAAATTTGATTAGGGTTTATCACACCTAAACCTTACCGTTTATGAAATATTTTCAATTTTATGAATAAAATGAAACTACACTACTAGACAGTTCCCTTATGGTTCCACTAGAACATATTTCCGGAATTTAATTTCTTTGAATTTAAAACTAGTGACACAATAGATATAATCAGGCTTCTTTTCTTAGGCAGAAATAAAAACAATATACTTTAATTGATATTACTCACCATATCTGCATCGTTTAGATGAGCATTGTTTGACGCACAAGGCAAATTTGTGTAGTAGTCTTGAAAGATTCATCTACGAACTTTTTCAAAAATTGTAACTGCTCAAACTTCAGTTTGGGCAAAGGAATTAGGTCAGCATAAAGTTGTTGTGGTGCTGAATATATAGCTATTTTTATTCGATTTGTATGCGTTGATATGTTTAAAAACATGAAATATGGACTTGGATCGGTCTTGGACCGTGAATTCACGTGGACTTAGATCGCTTTTCCAAAGTATTAATATTTTAATCGCTGATTATAGTGGACTTAGATAATTATTTCAGTGTTACATTATTCCTATTTTGGAACGGACACTTCATGAGCATAAGATGGCAGTGTTATCTCAATTTCCATTTTTTTGGACTTAGTCCGTTTTTCCCGTGTAGTCTTCATTTGCATGGGATTTCCTATGTTCAGGGTTTAGGTCGGCGAAGCTACAGACTGTATAAAATGCCAATATCTCATTTTATACTAATTAGTACTAATTACTTATACCTAGTACCTCGTATTTTAAAAGAGATAGTAGAAAACATAACTTTTATCTATCACTCCAATACCGAATGGATTAGCCTTGCAATCTCGCATAGGTTTGCTCGCTTTAGAACTATCTTATGACTTCAGTCTTCATACATATTCATTTAGCGTAACAAATTATTTACATGAAGGAAATCTCTTCTATCATTCGCAGACAAACGGTTTTACTGCCACACAGTAGTTATTCTGTCGCGTTTCAATAATGTAAACTCACTATGCCATAAACAGTTTGATCGCCGTGCACTGAATGGCAAAAGTGACAACTTTTTCTGCGGTATTTTGCATATTTTCCCAGTTTAATAGTAGCGCTTTGACTCGTTTCATAAATTATGATGCACCGGCAGCAAAGAGATCTGGAGATTTTAGAAATGAAAAGGCTGATTAAGCCAAAGATTTTACGTGCAAAATTACTTCAACCGCTATTGTAAGTAGCGTATATTTATATCTATTTTGTACTTAATATTTCCACATTATATTAAATAAGTAAACAAATCTATAATACCATTCAATATTAGGGTTTGCTAAATATATGCCTAACAAGTCTAAACAAAGAACATACTAATACTAAAATTACTAAATATACCTTTGTGGCGGATTAATCTAATATACAGGGTGGCAATTTGAAAACGAACAGTATTTAATATTGCCTCTACCGATGATAGTATGAAAATTTGGCGAAACACGTCAATTTATATATCAAGAGGGACAATTTTCGAGGCATTTGTTGTCGTGTTACTTTCAACCCCTTGACCCCCAGGGCACCTACCCCTAAAATTTTAAATAGCAACCCCTATTTCTTTTACCATATTTGTGTTTCTTATAGAATTCTATATAAATTGCATTATTTTTTTGAACCACAGGGCACCCCTATCCCAGCATCCTTCAGGCAGAAATCTACGCTGTCGAAAAAAATAAAATTTGTCCCGAAAGTTTATACAGGGTGAGACAAAATTAATACTGAACGTTGGCCACTTTTAAAGGCAAGTTACTCCTTTATTTTAAATGGAACACCCAGTATATTATACCGGTATTCAATGGAGAATTCATATATAATTAAAATACTATTGGTTGCTTACCCCTCAGACAAAGATTTTACTAGACATTTCCGTTTTTATGATTTTGCCTCAGTAGATCTTTGTAATTTCATAAAATCTAGGTAGTTGTGACAGACCTTGTTAACTTAACCAAAGTTAAAGGATATAGAGTAAAATACTCAACGGTACTAAAAAGATACACGTTTAAAACATATTTTCATTATTACAGAACTAAAACTAGATATAGCCATATAATTATGACACAAAAATCAAATACCCAATATGTTTCCTTTTCTGTTCACTGCATAAAATGATTCTATTTTTAAAAGGCCTTTTCATGTTAAAAGGCATACGTGAAGTTCTACTTCGAACAGCAGTCACAATCATTTCTCTCATGTTGTCAACAATATTTGGTCGGGTTTTGTAAACACTGTCTTCAACATACCCCAGTAAAAAAAGTCAAGACTGGATAAATTAGGAATATTTAAGTATTCTATTACATGATGAATGCACAATGCAGTCACCAACTAATAGAATCATATCAATTCTCTCTGATGTAGTTTCCATTTTTGGAGAATTTCTGACAATTTTTTTTATTTCAACAGACACAAAATGATAACTAGTTGTTAAAGTTGAACTAATTTCACAACTATGTTGAAGTAACGTCAGACGTATCATCAGCCACCTAGATTTTATCAAATAATAAATATCTACTGACACTAAATCATAAAAATGAAAATATCTAGGAAAATCTTTGTTTGAAGAGAAGGCAGCCACATTAGTATTTTGAAGAGACATGAATTCCCCATTGAATATCGAAATAATATACTGGGTGTTTAATTTAAAATAAAAGAGTAATTTTCTTTTAAAGGTCACCCATGTTCACTATTAATTTTATCTCACCCTGTATAAATTTTTGGGTCAAGTTTTAATTTGATTTAAAGTACAATCGTTATTTTAACTACATATTTGGATATACCGGGTAAATTCGAATTTAGGTAACTTTTATTGTAATAATAATAACACCTACCTTTATGTTTTCCTAGAATCCGAAAATCAATTAATATATAAGGTGTTCCATTACAAAAAACACAACTTTGATGTGTAACTTTTTGGGGGACACCCTGTAGAACTCTCTATATTTTTAAAAAATGCTCTAAATTAACCTACATACCTACATAATATGATCACAAAATTTCATGTCATGTTTGGAGCCTCCGCGTCGTATGAGAGGCGCCACCCTGCATATAGGTAGCGGCGTTGATTGAAAGAATATAATAATAAATTGATTGATTAATTTATTATTATATTATATTTGTTTATTATTATATTCTACGTATTTCTTCAATCAACGGTAGCCATCTTTGAAATATATTGCTGTTTATTTAAATGTGTTTTGTAGTAAATTGGTCATACTTCAATATTGTCTCTGCACTTCTGAAATTCCTTACATAGACACAAATCTAGTAGACGTACTTTTACATATCTTTGGGTATTTGTTGCAGGTCGCTGCCCAAGCTCAGCAGCCAGGACGAGGACGGGCACACCCCCCACTCCCAGTTCACTGGAGTAGCCCACTTCGAGCCCATCCCGCACGATCACGACTTTTGTGAACGTGTAGTTATTAACGTAAGTGTTTTTTATTTAAGTAAATTAACCTACCGTACCGGTTTGCAATTCAGTTATTATAATACGCCCACCTGCACAAAAAACGGGCATCTTAAAATTTTTAAGTATTTATAAAATCAAATAAAAGTCAACTGGTTATCTGTTATAAATTTAAATAAAGTTTATTAACTATTTTCGATTTTGAAAATAGCTACTAACTGTCACAAGAAAATTGCCATGGCAGTACCAGCTATCTTGATTGCCATTTTATTAAAAAATCGCTTTTTATTCGAAATCTGAGCAAGATAGGTATAGGAAACCCTAATATAGGGTTTAAAGAGCATTTAAATCTGCTTCGACTTATTTTAAAAAATACATAGTGTTGTATTTGAAATAACGAAGTTTTTAAGTAAAATAAATATTTAAAATAAACCAGCAATATTTATAAATGTATACCCCTGTATACATTTAAGGAAGCAAGACATTTTTTTAGTAAAGTTTATTTCTCTGGCTTCAAAGTCAGCACAAGAATTAACTCTGAAAAGTAATGTACAGGGTGTTAACAAACTTTTTTATTATAGCATGCATATTTAACTATCTTTAAATATATCAAAAACTAAAGCATTTAAACATATTAAACCCTTATAATAAATGTCTTATTTTATGCTCAAGAATCCAAAAATGAAATAAAATACCGGGTGTTTAATAAGAAGAAATATAACTTTGGTATGGATCTTAGTTCTGACACACCCTGTACATTTGAAAATAATTTTAAATTATGCCCCATTGCCTCTCTACATACACCCATAAAAATTTTTGTTTCTACATCTTTTCGTCTTCAATTGATGTATAATCAACCGAGGCGAATGAGGTGCGCCACCCTGTATATTTGGTTCTAGTGGGCCGATTTTGATATTTTAAGCAGTATACCTATATTAGGGTGGTCCTTAATACGGATGTATCCGAATTTCTTTGCTCCCAGGGGCTCGAATGCTCCAAATTCATAAAAAAAATCCTGAAAATTTTAGCTCTTAATATTAACTTTAAGGTAGTCCGCGTTCCAACCTAAGTTTCTCATAGAAATAACATGGGAAAAATTAATTTGTTCTTTAGAATTCCATAACTCTGCGACAAATGAATCAAAAGTAATTAATTGCGTTGTATTATTGTAAATTCAACGCTCTAAAAAAAGGTCTCTTATTATTTTTCGCTAAATCTATTGGCTTAAGAGTTATTCGAGCTCAAAGTTTAATTACCTATTATATAATTATTAATGTTATCAAGTATAATTATTATTAAGTAAATATTTATGATATAATATAAATCTATATCTAATATACTTGTAGCTAAATTATTGAACCTTTGGCCCGTGTTGGCTAAATTATTGGACCTTGTAACCGTGTTGGTCCATGTTTTATTATTAACGCTATATTTTATTTTTAAACGCCCAAAATTATTTACTGCGCCACATAATACATTTCTCTTGCTTTGCAGGTGAGCGGCCTACGATTCGAGACCCAGCTGCGCACGTTGAACCAGTTCCCCGACACGCTGCTGGGCGACCCGGCGCGGCGCATCCGCTACTTCGACCCGCTGCGCAACGAGTACTTCTTCGACCGGAACCGGCCCTCCTTCGATGCCATCTTGTACTACTACCAGTCGGGCGGGCGGCTGCGCCGGCCCGTCAACGTGCCCCTGGACGTCTTCAGCGAGGAGATTAAGTTCTACGAGTTGGGCGAGCCGGCCATCAGCAAGTTCAGAGAGGATGAAGGTTTTATCAAGGTAGGAATGTTGGCTATAGACTTGGTGCATTTCAACCGATTTTTTCGACTTGAAACTATAAATTGTACAGGGTGGCTCGAATTTGACGCTCATCATTGGGATTTCGGAAACCGTAAGAGATACAGGATCGGTTAAATGGAGGCGCAATTTGATGTTCAATAAAATGCCCGTATTGCATTTTTATTTTTTTTTTGCATAAAATATTCTGGTGATGGAATTTTCTGTACGAAACGTCGGCAAATATCAAAGTGACTATATATAGTGTTTTAAGAGTGATGAAAGGATTTAATTAAATTGAAAAAAAAAATCAGGTCCGTATTTAAAAAAATTAAGTTGATGATGGTCGCCAGAAGCCAAAACTTCAGAGTCAATATTTAATCACACACAGTTATAGAGCAGAAAAAATGGCCATGAAAATGTGTTTTTCATTTTTTTTCAAAACAAAATTGAAAATTCCGGGTTTTTTTTCGAATATATTCGGAAGTATTCGGAATTTTTCAAAATGCAATACGGCATTTTATTGAGCATCAGATTGCGCAACTTTGCCTGCATTTAACCTATCCAGTATCTCTTACGGTTTCCGAAATCCCAATGATGAGCGTCGAATTCGAGCCACCCTGTACAGGGTGCATGGGTGAAATTGGACGCTTTTAAAGACAACCACCCTTTTCTCTAAGAGATAGACGAAAACTAATATCGATGTCTGGAGCTCAATTTTTGCCAAAAACATGATCGTGAAAACCGCACATCGATATCTTTGATTTTTTTATATGGGACACCCTGTATATTTTTAATTAATTTAAAATTACTTTTCCCAAAATATAGCATACCTGATATTTTGCTCGATTCCTCTTCGAATTATAGAGTTTTTAAAAATGGTTAAAAAAAATAAAAAGCTTTGAACGGCGCCGGCGCCGGCTGTTGTGCAAAAAAATTCTAGCTGTGAGCAGCAATTAAAACGAAAATAATATTTACAATGAGAGATGCAGAATTTTATAATAATTTAAACTATATTTAACAAGAAAACAACACATTTAAACTATATCTAGTAACAATACAAATTTATAGCAAACCAAGCTATGAAATTTTGCTATAGGTGTTCGACATGTTTACTGTCTTCTGATACCGACAGACGGGACCGTTTTTGAACATTTCTCGCGGAAATTATTAATTCTTCACATAACCGCTAAGTACTTCTAATTCTTGTCTAGAATATACGAACAATTTAAAAATAAGAACCAAAGAAGAATCCACTAAGAATAACAGACACTAAGTCCGGTGGCCTCGACGGCCAAGGGCTGGGATCTTGGTTAGCTATTCAATTATTCTCGACATTGGCTGCAAAAATTTGCTGATAAATTCAACGTTTTGAGCTCGTCTTGCTGGAAAAATATTTTTTCGTGTTCCATTAGGCAGATCATCAATAAAGGGTCTAAAGCCTATACTAGTTAAAAGTGGCGAACTTTTAAAAATTCTGTATTTTGAAAGGGACTATAACAGAATATCAAGTGTGCTATATTTTTGGAAAGGTAAGTTTAAGTTCTTTTCACTTAATTAAAAATATACACGGTGTCCCATATAAAAAATTATTTTTTTCTGTTGATTAGTCTTAAATTATTAATTTTAAAAAAATTGTACTTAAACCATTAAATTCTACGTATAAAGGTACTTTAAAAATGCACATTTTTGAAAAACACCCCGTAACTCATAGACGGTAACAGATATCGATGTGCGGTTTTCACCATCATGTTTTTGATAAAAATTGAGTTCCAGACACCAATATTAGTTTTCGCCTATCTCCTATAGAAAAGGGCGTTCCGCTATAAAAGCGACGAATTTGACACACCCTGTACAGGTACGAAAGTTGTGCTATGAAACTCTATTTCAGGTAGTAAAAATTAAGTATACGCTGTATACGGCAGAGATATACATATGTATACCGTCTGTATACCGAGACATTGTGATATTTTAGAAAATGTATACTTACATATATTTGCATTTATTTGCATATATTTATTTTCATACTTGAAAACATAATAATTTATGTATTTTCAACTCTCCCGAAACAACATTGGGTATTGAACCCATCGGGGTATTGGACCTTTTGGTATTGACATTTGGTATTGACATTTGGTATTGAACCCATTGAACAGACATCGGGTATTGAACCGATAAATGTGTTTTATACAGAGCGATCTGCAAGGAAATACGTACGTGCTCGTAGTAAAGTGTAATGTCCAAAAACAATTAAAAACAATAGTTAATATGTGTTATTGTGTTGTCCAGTTTAACAAATTTTAACTCTGTAAGAATCTACGTTCAAGAGGCTTGAAAAAGACATATACTGTCGAAACGTCGTCACAAAATAAAAAAATAATGAACAAAATCTAGAAACATCTTTGCAACCCCAACGACCTAAAGCCAAGAGTGAAAACAAAAAAAACAACATTTTATAGCTTCATAGTTTCTCACACCGATTTGATCAAAAGTAAAAATGGATTCAAGCAGTTCGACGAAACAAGTGAGTAAACAAAGTGCTCGTTACATAGTCAAAAAATTAAACAGACCCATACTATGAGAGGATAAAATATAATTTGCAATACCTATTAATGGTATACTTTTTTTAATCAACTAGTGATTAAATGTTTTATGGAGATCTTCTAAAATTAGAATTATGTACCTTTAAAAAATGTGGTTGTAAACGAAATATTATGACCCCACTATAGTCTGTCCAACGAAAAGATCCTTGACAGTGATAGATGTGTCTGTCATTTTAATTTCAAAGTAGTTTATTTTATTTTACAAAGAAATAAGTTGGTACAACTGGAACGCATAGCAGGAAATTAATATATGTATTTAAAATTTGACTGACAAGTAACTTCAAAATATTGTGAAAACTGTACAAAACTGAAAAAATGTAATCGAGTTATTTTATTTAATACAAAACGGTATGTGTTAATACAAAACAAACAAAAACAAGACACCACATACCAAAAATATAAAAAGAACTATTTTTACTTTCAAGCTTTGTGAAACTTCCAGCATTTATGATTATATTTATCAATATAATTTTTGTACAAATACAAATTTGTAATATTCCGCAGGAATAAATAAAACTATTTTATTAATAATAACACTTACCAAATTTTATACCTCACAGGTTGATTAATTAACTTTAATCTTAGTTTTTTTAAACCAGTACCTTTTGACATTATTTTTCTGCAGTACTAAAATTCATTATTTACCTATCGTGTGATGTCGATATTTTACAGCTACTCCAGTTTTTAGTATGGGTTTAGTATGGTCCTTCTACCATATTCGAGATGCACTTATCTACGACGAGATGGTATACAAACTTTATTGATAGTAACTTTATTGGTGTATCTGTTTAAGACTTTCTGCCTGGGCAGCGAGTATTAACCATAAACTCAAATAAACTGTGCTCTGGGTTCTACAGTTAATTTTCACTCTATTTTCCTCCACTTGACTTCAAAAGACACAAAACACACGTAATAACACGAATCAAAATGCATCATCTTCCAAAACGCAGGGTATTTGACACAAGTTGTCACAAAATTATAACCCATATTTGGCAAGACTTTGACAAACGTCAAAATCTAAAGGCGAGTTCATACGCATCGGCGTCTGTTTGTTGTTCATCGTTCCGTCAAACCAATAAAATTGAAATACGATCTGTCATTTTTGAAATAAACCAATAAAACTGGTAAAAAACAACAAGTGACGACGCATGACGAATTTATATTTAAACCCATCCATAGTTAACTTAAAAATTATTAGAAACTTTTTTTAGTAAAATAAATAGATTGGTATGGGACGTCATCTGCTTTTCTTCTGTCATCGTCTGTCGAAATCTTACCTGAGAAAAAAAACAGAGTATAGCAAAACCGGTGCGTAAAACTATGCTCGCTACCGTAGTTGAACTCATCGAAAAAGTTTTTTAGCTGGAAAATAATTTAGAATATGTACAAATTAGACCTTCTGAAGATATCAAAATATTTACTTCTTTATTTTTATTTTTAGAATTATTACAAATTATACTTATACTCTATCTGTGCTTACAGTTTTCACTATGAAAAAAATAAAAGTGTTTTTACATGTGATGGGATCTAATTTTATCATGGAAAATTCCATTATATAAACTGTGCAAATTTAAGGAAGATGCATAGAGAAAAACATTTTATTTGAATTAATAAACCTGGGAAAATAATGTTTAAATGGAACGTGTGTGTTTATTTCTTTAAATTTATTTTGACTTAAAGTGAGCACATCAGTGACGACTTACTTTGTATGTTTACATATCTGATGTAAAATACGTAGCGTCAATTTTTATACACCCACATTACAGCTTTCAAAATATGCGAAAAAGCAGTTTGAAAATTGCTTCCTGGAAATTCTTCATACAAATAGTAGTTTTGTTCAATGTTTCGTAAAGTTTTCACCCACCAACTTTTAAGTATTCTGTCAGATTGTTTTAGTATATATGGAAAAGGGTAAATACTTTATATTTGATGTTTTTTTTTGAAAGTTTGCATAAAATATTGCTTGTACCACGGTGTGTAGAATTATGCATATGTGTAGATTTAGCAGCTTTACGATGCTGCAATCATCGGAGAATACCGTAAACATCCGACTAAACAAGGACTAAACAAATACAAGGGTTTAAATAGCGAGTACACGAATTTCTTTTATATTATTTAAAAAGTATTAATAAGTGGAATTTGTGAAAATCCTAAAAAAAATAAAAAGTAAATACTTTGATATCATCGGAAGGTCTAATTTGTGTTATAATTTGTTATTCCAGCTAATAAAACTTCTTAGATGAGTTCATCTACGGTAGCGAGTATAGGATGTGGCTATTTGGGCTGTACTGAAATGATTTAAAGGTACATAGTTAATTCTAATTTTAGAAGATGTTCATAAAAAATTTAAGCACTAATTGATTAAAAAAAAGTATACCATTAATATTGATCATAACACATTCGTGTCAATTTGATCGGCAACCATATAGGAGAATATCTAAACAAAACAATACTATAAGTATATTATGAAAAATTCATTTTGACATTTACTATTGTGCAAATAAGTTTCAAGCATGTACAAATATGAATTTCATAACGCTATCTCGATAAATTGGCAAGTTATTTATATTCATACTTTGTATCCCTTTAGTGTAATTTTTTACAACTAATTTTATTTTTCTTTAAAAATTATTAATTAATTTAATAAATTTAACTGAATAATAAGACTTAACTAACTATAAAGATATTTGATTAACAATCGGACTACCATCAATTATTCTTGCTTCTACCACAAGAATCGGTTTCTATTGATTAAAAATTATGTTAGGTTTTAATTTTCAAATATATTTTTTTTCAAAATTCGGCCAATAAAATCGGTTTTAGCCATTGATTTTTTTAAATGTCAAATTTGACAGAAAATAGAAACAACGTAGGTATATCTTATTATGTGATGTATAATCTATTTTAAAGGAAAAGCGCAAATCAATTAGGTCAGAGTCAAATTTGACCTAAATCCATACACAATCCTGTGACACTATATGTATGTGATTTTTGTGTATGTTTTTTCCAGGAAGAGGAAAAACCCCTGCCAGGAAGAGAATTCCAAAGGGACGTGTGGTTACTGTTCGAATATCCAGAATCATCGCAGGCGGCTCGCGTCGTCGCCATCATCTCCGTCTTTGTCATTCTGCTGTCCATCGTCATTTTCTGTCTCGAGACGCTACCTGAGTTCAAACACTACAAAGTATTCAACACTACAACCAATGGCACAAAAATTGAGGAAGACGAGGTAAAGAAATCCACTAATTTCATATACTATAGATAGGTGGGACACTGAATAAAACAAATTAATCCGTCATTTAATCACCACCTGGTGGTTAGGAAGAAACTAATGGGGAGTTTTGGCGTAACATAATTTTAGCGTTCCATTATATATAAACGCTAACTTAAAAATGCTAACTTAAACGGTAACGTTATTCATGCGCGAAATTATTACTTGAAATATAAAAAAAAAAATATATAGACTTTTCTACAAAATTGTATGTTTTATTAGATCATTAGAAGTGTAAGATAGTCAAAAAGAAAATAAAATTATGAATGAAGTGTAGACAGATTCACCAGGGACGTGCATATGGGTTATCTCCAGAATAATTTTCTAAAAAAACATATGCCACACTGACTTTATCTCCTCTTGTTAGCAAAATTGTTTAGGCCGTTTAATGCCTATTAAAAATAAACGCAATTTTATTAATCACCAATTAATATAAAATAAAAATAAAAGTAAAAGTAATAAATTATTTATGTAATCTGTTTTATTATTAAATTTTATTCAAATTTATAACACTGCTGTTCAGTGCTATTCAAGAGTACAGCAAATTTAAGAAAAAAATAATGGCATAATGTGGATAATTACAAAAGACCTATTTTTTAAAAGTCTTAACATCTTGTAACTTTAAAACAATGCACTTCCGCACCAATGTTTATAGGAACTTTTTTTTTCATATTTTTTACGAGGAATCAATAAGCACAGGTTTTTTTTAGAGAAATGTTCCAGTGATAACCCATATGCATGTCCCTGGTGAATTTTTCGACACTTTTTTAGCATTAAAATATATCGCACTTATAGTAACTTTAACCCTCAAACTTATATTCGAATGGCTAAAAGCACTTGGAAGAAAATTATAATAAATCGAAAAAAATGAAGGCTTTTACACCCTGTAACGACGATACAAAGCAGAATCGGACCTGTGTTGATATAAGAAATAAATCTTATTTATATTTGAGGAATCTCCACACGAGAGATGGCACATGTTTTTAAAACACCCTGTATAATAACTGACTAAATTATTTTGGCTTCTAGGTGCCGGATATTACAGATCCGTTCTTCCTGATAGAAACGATATGTATAGTGTGGTTTACGTTCGAGCTGTCGGTTCGGTTTCTGGCGTGCCCGAATAAACTGCACTTTTTCCGAGACGTCATGAATTTCATCGATATCATCGCCATCATCCCTTATTTCATCACTCTGGCGACGGTGGTCGCGGAGGAAGAAGATACGTTACAACTGCCTAGAGCGCCGGTCAGTCCGCAGGTAAGTCACTTACTTATACAACTATATATCTCTTTTTCAGCCCATGTTTTACGACACACTGGAATTTGTATATGTTACGGCTAAAATGGATACTTGGCTAGTTTTTAAACTAGCCAGCTGTTTTGCAAACTGACTAAAAGCGCTGTTATTTTGAAGGAATCCGCCCATTCTTGCAAAATAGCAGTCAGTCAACGGCTAATTTACAAACTAGCTGGTTAGTTTGCAAACTATATATTCGTATTGGATAATGTCATAATTTTATATTTTTGTTTTCATATTAACCAGTTCTTTTAGTTACTTTGTATAATAATTATTTATAATTGTGGCTAATATGATAACTCCATTAGTTTTAGTCACTCAAAATAGCAAGATTCTTGGCTAGTTTACGAACCAAAATCCTTGCAATTTAAGAGTGAGATTATGCCTATATATTCTTCATGTTGAAGAGCTTAGTTGTGTTTCTGTGCTTGTACGCGTATTTATATCATTTCGCCAACTTAAGATGGGTTCAAGTAGCAAAATAAAATAAAAAAATAAATAAAAAAAGAAGAAATGATTAGTTCTAATATGGGAGCATTCAAACAGCCAAATAAAATAATAACAAAATATACATTTGCAAATAAGCAAGACGTTAAAATTGGATAATAATTTAGTTTTCAGTTTAGTAGTTAGGTTAGGTTAGGTTTATAATAATTTTAGTATTTGCAATGTACTTATTTATTCAACGGCAATGTACTTGTCTATTCATATTGAAATTATGCAATAAAATAAATCCATATCCTGAAAGTATTTATAGGTTAAAAACTCTTATTATTATACTCTCTCACTTATTTTATTTTGTCTGTATAAATGCAACTACCAAGTTCGATATAACTTATCTCTTATATTCTTATTATTTTCTACTTTTCTCATTTTATTTCTTTGGCTGTTCGAACCTACCTTTTCAATAGTTATGTCTGTGGTTATGTACAATATAGCTTTCCGCTATATATTTCGTTCTGTACTATACAGTGTGTGTTTAAAATTTGTTAAAATTTATTTTTTATAAATAATTTTTTTAAATGAAAATTAAATTTATTATAAAACAAACAAAAACAATTAAAATAAATTTTGTAAACTATATGGTAAGTATGTAAACTAGCAATTATTTTAGTAAACTGATGTAAAATCCCAATCCTAACCAGATTTTGTAAATAGTTTACATACTAACAAGTTAAAATATAAACCAGCTGCGGTTGTCTGCTATTTTGCAAGAATAGACGGATTCTTTCAAAATAACAGGACTTTTAGTTAGTTTGCAAAATAGCTGGCTAGTTTTAAAACTATCTATCCAAGTATCCATTTTAGCCGTAACATATACAGTAATACCTCGCTTTACGCGGTAGATGCGTTCCAAAGAACATTGCGTAAAGCTGAAATCGCGCAAAACGGGGTTCAACTACCTATGTATAAATCGACTTGTATACTAATAACATAACAATGGTAAAAGCTAAGGGTAAAAGTGGATGAACACATGTTTGAACACTTTCAAACACATAAAGGCGTCCGACAGGGTTGTATACTCTCACCCATCCTCTTTAATATATATGGGGAATATATTATGCGGAGAGCTCTGGAAGACTGAGATGGAGGCATCAGTGTAGGAGGAACTAAAATCAACAACTTGCGATTTGCAGACGACACAACATTAATTGCGACCAGTGAAAAAGAGATGGTTATTCTACTGTTGCGAGTGGAAAATGAATGTGCTGAGATGGGACTAACTATCAACTGCCAAAAAAAAACAAATTAATGTTCTTGGACAGAGGGAAACCCATACAAAGGTCTTTTTGGCTTAATGATATCGAAGTGGTACATGATTTTGTTTATCTTGGATCAAACATAAATGACGAAGGCAATTGTAAAATAGGCATTAGACACAGAATACAGTTAGCAAAAACTACCACAACGCGCTTTACAAGAACATGGCAGAGCAGAATAATAACAACCCAAACAAAAAAGAATTTGCTGCATACAATTGTCTTTTCAATATTTCTTTATGGAGTGGAATCCTGGACCATCAAATCATCGGAAAGGCGCATTATAGACAGCTTTGAAATGTGGTGCTACAGACGTATGCTGAGAATACCTTGGACAGCTAGAAGAATGAATCTGTCAATAATAAATGAGCTTAACATAAGCACCCGACTGTCAGCTATCTGTCTGAAATGCATCATCGAGTACTTTAGACACATTGATCGAAGACCTGCCGACAACATGGAAAAAATTATTATAACTTGTGATGTCCAAAGAAAAAGGTAGAAGTAGAGGTCGGTCTCCAACAAGATGGATCGACTAAGTCAGACAAACAACGGGTCTACCCCTACACTTAGCTATCCATCGAGCAGACGACAGATTAGCCTGGAAAAATCTTGTCAAACAAAAAGTATTCTTATAGTCACGACCCTCAGCTATGAAGAACGATTGGAGAGAGAGACATCCTACATGAATATGCACATCGTCCAAACTAGATAACTTAATTAAAAAAAAAGTAGCAATGAGGAATGCGTTAAATGGTATCCCCCAAACTAGTTATCCGGAAGTGATTAATTAATCCTTAACCCTATTTTGAAGCTGAAGAGAGGTTTAGGCGACATTTCCATTACCTCAGACTAAATTTTGACGGAAAAGTATTTTGCTTCAAGACAAGATACTGAAAGCGATAACGGGTTTATTCTGGTTTTCAAGATGTTGAGAGAAAAATAAAAAACCTACACACAAAAAATAAAGGGTCTCTGAAACTAGCATTGGCCTAAACTACAGACCTTGCAGACCTTCTTACTGGCTATCAGCTACTAACAGAGATGGTTTTATGTCCAGTTGGTCTCTACCATGTTCAGTGAAAGCAACAAGAGCCGATTCAATTTCTAGACTTAAAAACCATACCTACTAGAGTTACTGTCACTAAGAATCATACTTTTGAATGATAGTAACATTACAAAAACAAATTAAACACTATCATACAAGTTGATTGATTGGGACTAAAGGCTAGGCATGCTTTTAATGCTTAGATTGTAATTGATCGTTACTGTCTTCTTTAAAAGGGAATATCTCCGCCAAAAAAAATTAACTGAAATGATTCAAAAAACAAATTATCGAGAGAAGTTGTACGTTGATGATAAAGTTGTTTTGAAATTCCTTATTGTGTTAAACCGTTCCACAGGGCGTGTCAGACTTTTGCCAAAATAACATTTTGTTTTCCCTCGTTTAATAGACAGATGAGAACTTTAATTTTTAACATTCCAGCATTCAATTACATGCTCTTCAACACACTAATATATTTTTTCCTTAGGATAAGAGTACCAATCAAGCAATGTCGTTAGCGATATTAAGGGTAATTCGACTGGTGCGCGTCTTCCGAATATTCAAGCTCAGTCGTCACAGCAAAGGCCTTCAAATATTAGGCCGAACGCTCAAAGCGAGCATGCGCGAGCTCGGTCTCCTCATATTCTTCCTGTTCATAGGTAAGCTCACCACTAGATGTCTAGCTGTTTACCAATGTGTTTTGCTAAATACTTATAAATTTAAGATTCCCTCTAGGTGATACAAGTGAGTTTGGAAACTTTTGGTGTTACAACAGTAAAATAACACTAAGTTACCACAATACACCTTATCAATGCAAATAAACGTCTAATGAAAATAAACCAAAACGAGGCGAAGTTAGGCGAGGAAATACGAAATATCCCTCTTCACTCTTCAACCATGACTTACTTCGGGTTATTTCGCGAATACTGTAGAGGCAGTTTAAGACTTTGTGGTTTAATCATCTACTGATTATACTAACATGGTTAGCGAAATATGTGTAAAAATTTCGAAATAAAATGTGTTGGTGTATTATTGTGGTAAATTAGGTTTATTTGGTTTTCCCTATGGGTATTGTTTTCAGTTATATTCCGACTTTGGTAGGTAGTTATTACATATTTTATAAATATTGGAAAGGTACTACATGCCTACCTACATGGAGAGACGCATTTTCGAAAGAAATACGATTACAAACCATTTCTTAAAATATAACCAGAGTTAAAGGTTTTAGTAATAATAGTTTCCAGTAATAAGTAAAGGTTGAAATACTGTCAGTATATAAATTTTCTTTTAATATTATTTTTATTGTTTTAATAAGTCAAAATAAACATCTTAATCTATTAGTAGTGATAATTATTAAACATCATGACATCCGTTTTTATGAAATATGAAGACTATTTAGTAAAATAGACAGAGTTGAACCAATTTTAATTTTATTTAACATTCAATTACAATGAAGAAACCAAAAAAAATGATAATGTTAAAATTAAGATATTTATTTATTTATGTTTTATCAATATCAAGGGCGTTCTGTGGTTTAAATTCATAGACTCAATAGCCAAGAAATATATCAAACCAGTTACATATTAAATTTATAAAAAAATATTAACTGAAAGTGTTATAACTATTTTTTAAAGAAAAATGTGAGTTTTATTGAACTATATTTCCAACAACCCAAAACGCAACTTTCAAATTTAATCTATAAAAAATAAAGAAATGTGACTTTGTGCAACGATTTTTGTCATGCGGTATAATATCCTATATACAACATCAAATTACCAATTCACTTAATATACAGAACTTCTTGTATATCAATCTTACTACTACTATCAATCTTAGGCTGTTTAAATAATAATATGAGAACAAAATAATATCATTTTACACAGAATATACACAAAAACATTTTATTTTCAATTCTGGACTCACGTCCCGCTAACCATACTTGTAATAATGATACTTGTAATACTGATGAATTATACAATTATCCATTATGTTTATAATTTTTTTTTCTATTTCACTATATTGTTTTACATTTTGGAAAAAACTTAACAGTTAAAATTATATTAAAAACTGTTTATATACTGACACTTACATTTTAATGTATAAAGGGTTGTGCAACCAATAGAGGACATCACCTATAACTCGGAAAACGTTAATGACAAACTTAAAAGTAATATATAAAATGAATTTCTGTAAACTATTTTCACATTCGAAAGTTGGCCGCTAGAGGTCATAATAGCAATATAAATGCAAGGATATCGTTTATCTATTAACTTTTGCAAACTGAGGTATACTGAATATTAATTCAAATTTTAGGCAACACCCAGCATATTTTTATGATTTAGTACATCCCTTGTATATGAATTTTTATAAACAAGGGTACATCACAATATGTCCGCCCCGTTCGAAATGTGTTGCAAAAACATTGTACCAACATTCTTCAGTCACCGCTCACCAGGGTTCGGAAGTAGTTAATTAAGACGTAATTTACCTGATTAACTACGTGTAGTTTTTTTTCAAAAACTACGTCTTTTTCCGTTCATTAACTACATGAAAACTACGTTAGTAAACTATGTATTGATATTATGAATAATTTTCCTTTGTATGAGGTGTAATAGAGATAATATGATGTAAATATTATATTTAAAACCATATTTCTCCTGTTTTCTTAAATACATTATGTGTTTTTAAAGCTTCAACTTATTATAACCTCACCTAAAACCTTTGACATTTGAAAGTTACATACATAAGTTACATAAACTACACCCTCTACATAAACTACATTAACTACATGTCATGTAGTTTATGTAGTTTTTCAAAGTAACATGTAGTTTTCCGAACCCTGCCGCTCACCTACCGATAGTAACAAATAAATTGTTGAAATATCAAGCAACATATGATTTTCAGTAAAATTTCATCAATATGTTTATTGTTGATAACAATATTGTTGTAGTAACAAGTGAGTACACCTAATCTGGGTTCCAGCCTACCAAGGGATAGAAGTTAATAAAAAAGCCACCGATCTAGCTAGAAAAGTAGTGAACACTCCACTAACTGTACCAGAACCGTTCTGCTTCCCAAGTGGAAACCATCTTAAAGCGGAACTTAAGATACCTGAAAGACTCGTTCAAGTTGAATAAAATGGTTTCATTCAAAAAGGAGATATCAACATTTTTGAGTAAAAATCCTTCTCTCCCCAATTAATTTTGGAAAATAGTTTAAAGTAAAAAAAGTTTGTAATTGAAGAATTCACAAATTTTATATGTGTGCTTATATTTTCAACCTATATCTCAGAGAAAAATAAATGAAAATTATAATTTTCCTGTATTGCTGTTACACTCCTTAGCGGCCATGTTTCGAACTTCGAAATATTTTTTGATATTTCTCTTTGCCGGTTTACCTATAAATATTGTTTTCCTTAAGTTCTATCATTAACGATTCTCGAACTACAGCGACTACAGCGGACTCCCTCTGTTAGTAGCTCCCCATACACCTGTCTGGTTTGCAGACTTGACCTGCCTATTTAGTCTACCGATTAGATCTTTACACGATTCAATATTCTAGTTTAGGACTAAATTCGCCGTTTTATAGTAGTTTTTATACAGCGTGCTACAAATTCGAGGTACGAGCATTAATTTAAAAAGCAAATTACATTGGGGCAAAGATGCACTTTGGGATGTTCGCCATCAAAAAAGTTTTAAAAATTTCAAGGATTGCTGAGTTTTTGGGAAAAAATGGATTTTTTTGAAAATCGATTTTATTTTTTCCTGTTGTTACTTTTTAGAAAATCAAAAAACTAATTGCACATTCTCATAGCCACTTTATTAGGGCTATCTGATAGTATTTTTAGATTTTCAAATTAGGTGATAATTTGTGAGATACAGAGGCAAACATATTTTTTTTTAATACGGACCTGCATTTTTTATTTCAGATTTTGAAAGAACTCGGTCTCCTGAGTACAATGATATGTCACATTTAATTTTTTTTTCTGTTTCGGACATTTATTTAAGACAATTTATTTAAGCTAATTTCAAGTCCGGCTCTGTTTTTTTTTTAAATAATTAATCTATTCGTCGTTACAATATTGATAAGCTTTCAAACTTAAAAAAACGTGGAGTAAAACATTGAGTACGGAAAACCAAATGCAATAAAATAATATAAATATAATATAAACAATCAAATAATTTCCCCGGAAGATGGATTGGAAATGGTAGAGCAGTATAATGGCCAGCGAGGTTCCTGGACCTGTCGCCAAGGGGCGGGAGAGGGGAGGTACATTACTTGACGTCATTTGTAAAAGTGAAATCAATACATCTCAATATTTAAATAAATAGTACAAAATGCATTCGGAAGTATAAGAAGAATGTTCAAACAGCTATAAATAAAATTGAACTATAAATAAATTTGTGCAATAGCGAGGGTGGTAACCCTTTCGAACATGTAGAGCATTAGCAACTAGTTTGTAGAAGTTGATTTATTTATAATACCTACGATTAATATTATGCATATTATTAGATCGCACACTGAGATTTCCAATTCACAATAAAAAAAAGTAATATTTTTAAATTGCTGACCTGCTATATAATCAGAGTAAATAATTTAAAAAAACAGAGTCGGACTTGTAATTATTTTAATTAATAATTAAATAGTTTTGTTGTTGTTAAGGTACCCAAAACAAAAAAAGTATAAAATGTGGCATATCATTGTACTCAGGAGACCGAGTTCTTTCAAAATCTGAAATAAAAAATGCAGGTCCGTATTTAAAAAAATTAAGTTGCCATCTGTATCTCACAAATTATCAACTAATTTGAATATCTAAAAATACTATCAGATAGCTCTAATAAATTGGCTATGAGAACGGGCAATTAGTTTTTTGATTTTATAAAAATTAACGACAAGAAAAAATAAAATTGATTTTCAAAAAAATCCGTTTTTTCCATAAAAACTCAGCAATCCTTGAATTTTTTAAAACTTTATTGATGGCATTTTGGTGAACATTCCAAAGCGTAACTTTGCCCCAATTTAACCATGTCCGTATCTATTACGGTTACCGAGATACCAATGCTCGTACCTCGAATTTGTAGCCCATAATACATTACGCTAGTCGCTTAGAAAGAAAGAGCTTTACAAGTCCACCGACGTTATCCTTTGTTCGTGTTTTTAGACCAATGTAATTACAGAGATCAAGGTTGCGGATATAGCCTGTGACAAGCTTGATTCGCCTACGGCTTGGCTTGTTACAGTCTTGGTCCACCTCAAGTTATTACCCGCAGTCCAAATCTTCTGGTGTATGGAGGGCTATTGGTTAACCTTGTCAAAATATTGTACTAATAAAATAATGCTTTCGTCTACTCTCCAACGAACGTCTACTTGCGTACCACCCGCCGTTTTGCGTTGTAGGCGTAGTCCTGTTTTCGAGCATTGTGTACTTTGCCGAGGCAGGTCTCGAGAGGACCACCTTCAAATCTATTCCGGATGCCTTTTGGTGGGCCGTCGTTACCATGACGACTGTGGGCTATGGAGATATGAGGTAGAGAGCAAGAGAAAATGTGTACCCCTGTCATTTGTACCACTATTTGTCTGTAAATAGTGATTGATGGTCTCGGACAAACTTACGAAAACACCGACTTTAATTGAGCTCGTCGTTTATCTTGAAGTAGTG